CCTGATTAAATAAAAAACTAAGGATAAGAAGAATGTAAGGCTTAAACCATGCCATTTTTTACTAAATAATATTTTATCATTTTATAAAGAAGTCGATATTTTTATTACAAAAACGTTTATAAAACAAAAATAATTGTTATTTTGTCAAGAAAGTAAAAAAAAAAACAACACCTTGTAAGTTCAAAAATAACAATAACAAAAGATAACCAAGCTACTTCTATGTATTTGCATACAATGAAACATTAACAGAAAGAATTAAAAAGTAAAAATATAAATTAACAATTTTTAAACAAAATATCATCTAAAGTTAAATTGGAAACTTTTTATGGTATATTTATTCACAAAAGCTAACAAAACAGTTTTAAAGCTTTAACTTTGGTTTCCTTGTCTGATGCAGGTGAATGCATATAGCAAAAATTGTTAAATAATATATTTGTAAGAATATAACAATGGTTTCTTATAATTATGGTGAAACCATAAATACATGCAATATCAATGAATAAGCAGGACATAGAATATCTACAAAAGTTTGATGTGCCAACAAAATTAAACAAAATGTAACTTAAGAATACCCATTCACAAAATGTATCACTGGGTATTTTCAGACCACCACGATCTAAGGCAGATGTAAAATTTCCATTACTATAATACAGATAAGTGTCCTCGTTATCATCTTCATTGTCTTTTCTAGAAATATAACCTGCAATGTAAACTAAAGATGACTTAATATTCGATGAAAGTTGGTCTAAAAGTTCATGTAAATGATTAAACATCTCACACTCATCTTCTGAAAGTTTATAAAAACAATTATCACAAATATGACCAGATGTAAACTCAGCACTTGAAATGTTGATAGTTTTCTGAAGAAATAGTTTGGTTTTGTTGATATTCCACTTTTCAATTACTTGTTGAGTATTTATAAAATAAGTTCCCCCACTACCTTGTCTGAGTTTTCCAAATGCTCTTTCTATGGGGTCTGTTGTAAAATTCCCAAGCAGTACATACATTTGAGAATTGTCTAACAAATGCTTACTTAGTTCAACTAAACCATTACAAGTTTGATATAATGCATTGCTTGTATCCATGGTTATACTTCTAATTCTTTTTCCTTGAATCAATGTTGGCTTTAACATTTCAGAAAACTCAATTAAATCATTTAATCGTAAATCATCAACATATGATATGGGAGCTCGTAAGTTGTCTTTCAAATGGATTTCTTCGGATGGACTTTTAATGTTGACTATTTTCCAAAATTGAACCACCTTAGTTAAAAAAATAATAGTTCCATCAATATCATCATCTTTCATACCTTGATGACACTTTAATGCATTTATAGTCTCTTCACAAAAAACTTTTAAACATGTATTAACTTTTTATCTCTCAATTGGCCTTGGGTTAACAGCAACATAAGTCAACTTAGACATTTTAACCAATTCACCTTCTTCTAACTTTTGAAGCTTTTTGATGTGATCCCATTTAGCATTATATTTTTTTCCTCTATAACTAAACTCAATTTCACCAGACTTTTCAGTTATCCAATTGTTTCGTATACACTTTATTAAATGCACAAAATCAAAGAGTAAAAAAATGCCATCAGTTGTTAACCATGGAAATATGCAATCAAATTGTTTGAAAAATGCTTGATTTACTCTATTATTATCATTAATTAAAGCAATAACTTTTCCATTTGCCTTCGTAATTTGGTTGATTAAGATAATAGTTTGATCATATAAAAAATCTGCATCTAAATTATTTACTGGTAACATTTTAACTAAAAATTTTGGTCCTCCATAAAAACATACAACCATGAAAGCCAATACAGTTTTTGCAAGATTTGATTCATCATTTACTGCTTTACCAAACAACTGTCCTCCATGATAAGTTAGGTTTAACATAAACTTCATCTAATAATAGTATACATTGTTTTTGACCATTGTTGAGTTTTGAAAAAACACTACAAATAAAAGTATTATCATCAAAGTGTGAAACTTTTGAAGTTAAACGTGTAAGGGTAGCAATACTAGGAAGTTGAAAATCATTTCTTAATTGATTGTATAAACTACGTGACTGTGCAAAATACTCAAAAGCTCGAACAATTACTTCAGGCGAATATTTTTGCTTAAGAATATTACTTGAGTTCATGTTACTCATGCATTCAAATTGCTGAATTAAAACTGTTTTCTTTTCTGACTTTTCAAAGGAAATCAAATATCGTAATGCCTCATGAACTTGCGACCAACATTTGAACTTATGAATACGATTTTTAACTAAGGAAGCAATAGTGCATCTTACTCCAGCATGATAGGCTTCATATGATAAGTCATTAAATACTATTAAACAAAATTTATTAATACCAGTATTGTTTTCATGCTCTTTTGATTGAATACAACAGCTATTTAAACAATTATAATAAACAACTGAATCATTAAGTTTTTCTAGAGATAACGAATTACAAAAATTTTCGAATGAATCAATTTTGTAAAGCTCTTCGAATTTTGAAAGTTCATCTTCTTTTATTGATCTTACAGAGCTTTTGGATTTTGTTGTTGTTCTTTTTTCTGGTGGAGGAGTTGGCAATAAACTCTTGGGTATTTGTTCGAATACACTAGGTGGATCTCGAGGTCTTTCTCTTCCTTTTACTTTAATAACTTGGAAGTTTGGTGGAAAATGTTTTGCACAAACTACAGTGTCATGTTTGTCTGGTATATTTTCTCTTGGGATTGCTTTAATCCATCTTAGACGCTCTACTGGATCTCTCGGTAATCTGAAAGTAGTTGTCTTATCTTTTACTGAGTCATAGTTAGAGTTACAACCAGTAACACAACATTTTCTGGGCATTTTTAAGTCTTCTGGTAGGGATACAAGTTATTCGTAGTAATTTTTGCCGCTAACTAAATCAGCCTCCACTGTTTTTAAGCTGTTGCGCGATGAGAAGGCCTGTTATTTAAGTACGCCTTGACTCAGAGCAATGTCAATGACTCAGATTTCTATGAATTAGCTAGTGAATCTGACAGAAATACGATAAAGTTTCCAACAGTTGCCAGAGAATGTGACAGATATGGTGTATCTGATGTCGCTAGAGCCACAATTGCTACTTTTCAGACTTCCGAATTATAAAAAATACGGAAAACTAAAAACAATTTTTACACTTTCATATTTCTCTGGTCATATTTCTCCATCAAAGTGCATCATCAACAAATATCAAGAATGCTATTAAAGATTTTTTTGATGAAAACAAAATATCACTTGATAGTGTGTTAGCTAAATACTGTTGTGAATGGTGTTGCAAAGGTAAAACTTACCAGAAAATTTTGAAAGAATTTAAATAAAAAAATAAGTAAAAAAAAATTTCAGAATTTACCACCTGGTAAATTCTGAATTTTTTTTTTTACTTATTTTTGTTTTTTCTTTAAAAATTTTTTTTTTTAAGAAACATAAAAATAAATTTTTTGCTGGCAAATTTACTGGTAAATTTACCAGTAAAAAGATGTTTTAAGGTGCTATCTTAAAAGGTGTTTTAAGATAGCTGGAGCTGCATTTAGGATATCCAGTTCAACTGTTAGTGAGTATGTTCCATTTTAATGAAAAACCATTGAGAAATTTAGTATTGCATTTAGATGGCACCACTTCATGACCTACTGTATTTAGTGGCAACATTGAAAAAGCACAAAAAGCAAATTGTCAATTTTAATGTCAGACAGAATAACTTACTGTATGTTCTACATGAGATTGTGACAAACAATATTAGCAAAGATCAACAGTATCTTTATAACCTGTGAAAAAAAAAAGCCTGGCCCATCGGTTCCTTTTTGATGGTTGACAACAGCAAATTGAATCCTTCATTTGTATGTTACAAGCACTGCTCCATCTACCAAGTTTGTAATACTTACTGATTACATTTTTTGAGTTTATGCACTGGTGTAGTCCTTTATAAAACTGGAGCCTCAATGTTACATGGGGGTAAAACAATTGTGGTGCTTAATTCAATTCTCTTGCTTCCTTTCTGAAAGTAATTGACTTATAGTTAATAATTGCATTCAATTGGTTACAAAAGCAGCCACAGTTGTATCTGGAGAAATGAGAAGAGATGGCAAAAGCAAAACTTTTATCTATAAAGTATATTCCACACTTTGCTCAAAAAATAATTGGAATATCAGTTGATTGATCAATAAATACTTTTTTTTTCATAGGACTTCTTTAAATAAGTACAATAAAAAATATGAAACAGCATTTAAAAAAGCTTGTATTGCTTATAAGAAATGTTATTCTAATGCTAAGGTAATCCTGATACTGCATAAAATTTTAATTTTTGTAGCAATCTCAAAAGTTTGACCAGAAAACAACTAAATTATTGCTTTTTTTATGGAGCAGAAATTTTTACATATCATATATTGTAATATCAAAAATGGCTTATTTTCAATTAAATGGCGGCAAAGGAAGGAAAAAAATAATTTTAACTTTATTTTCTTTTAATGATTTATTTTTATTTTGGAGCAATTTAGATTTTAGAGCAACATTATTTTGCTTCTCAAACTAATTTGAACAAAAAAATACACTGATGATCTACCCTAATGTGCATCTTGAGATATTTTTTGATAGGTTAACTGCTCAAACCAGGTAACTTATGCTATATATACTTAGAAAAGAAAACTTTAAAATGAAAGCGCAGTTATATTAATTTCTATATATTATATTCAAAAACTATGAATCAACATATGTGAATCAACTTTGAATCAACACAATATTAAACTTTATTGTGTGTATCGCTTCATCATTTAGTAAACTTGGTGCTGATGTTCATTTTCACCCCGTTTTTCATACTCAACCCATTGACTGTACTACACTAGACTCTAGTCTAGAGTCATAGAGATATTTAGCAAGTGTTAATCACAAGTAATTGAAAATATATTTTCACTTTAATAATTATTAAACTTTAAAACATAAAACATTAAAAGATTTTCAGGTTAACGATGAAACAATACCTAAAAATAAAACCTTACCCATTTCTTCGTGCACTGCCATTGTAAATGAAAAATCTAATCCTAGTCCTCCATATTTTACTGGTTTGTTCACACCAAGAAATCCAGCACTGCCTAATGTTTTAAATACTTTATGAGCAGGAAAACCACCTGCTTCTTCCCAGCCATTGACATGTGGAATGATCTCTTTTTCTAATAACTTCCGTAAAGCTCGTCTTAATTCTACATGTTCCGGCGTAAATATACTTTCGTCAGACAAATTATCAGAAACCTCAAGAGGTGTTTCAAATAGTTTAACTTTTTTAGTTATCCCTTCTTCGCTCGCTTTAGTCTGAAAGGTATTTTTTGTTATTAGACATAAGCTTCTTTTTGATAACGGTATAACTCTTTTTGATAATCTTAAAGCTCCCATTTTAATGTTTTATTTTATTGTTTATGTATTTTTAATCTGCCTGTGAGTTTTTTTTTTCAAATACTTTTTTTACGGACTGCATTTATTTATTTTTTACGCATTAGGGTAGCTTATAAGTTACCCTAATGCGTAAAAAACACGGCGATCTATAAGTAACTTAAAGAGCGCCATGGTAAAAAATAAATAAATGCAGTCTAATGCGTAAAATATAAATAAATGCGTAAAAAATAAATAAATGCAGTATTTATTTATTTTTTATGCATTAGGATAACTTATAAGTTACTCTAATGCGTAAAAAATAAATAAATGCAGTCCGTAAAAAAAGTATTTGAAAAAAAAAAACTTACAGGCAGATTAAAAATGCATAAACAATAAAATAAAATGTTAAAATGGGAGCTTTAAGATTATCAAAAAGAGTTATACCGTTATCGAAAAGAAGCTTATGTCTAATAACAAAAAATACCTTTCAAACTAAAGCGAGCGTCAATTTCAGTGCGGATGTAAACGAGGTTCGATTAAGCTTAATCGAACCTCGCTTACATCCGCACTGAAATTGATGTTGACAGGCCATTATTAAACTTGCACAGCTGAACTATATATCATTAGATAGTTTATTTCTTCAGCTACAAAACTATGTAAAATTATTTAAATTTTATGAGAGTAGTTGGCAGTACCATTATAAATTGTACAGTGTGTCAAAAGCACTGATTCTCGCCTACTTGAACTCAATCCAGCCATGTTGATTTAAAGTCGCCCACTGTGTAAATTAGGAAAGAGCTTATACTTGCGTAGGGCCGAAATAGAAGTGTTGCTTTGTTACGAACTGTGAGTTGAGTTATCTTCTTCAGTGCCTTTTTGTAATTGTTCTAGATAATTAGCAACTTTTCTAGCATCAACGTCTAAAAAATTAATTTCTCGAACAATTTATGATTGGAATTCCTAAGAAAATAATGAATAATACTATCGAAATGCAAGTTAGTAAACTTTATGTTTCATTCAGAATTTTTATCAATTTGTACATAATATATTAGTCACAGTTGCTAGCTAAAGTTTAAATAATAACTTTTATTGCATAGTAGTATTTGCAAAAACACGGTAGTACAATACTAACTAAAGAACAATTGTTTTCAGTTATATTAACTGATATATCCTGAGCTATGTGTAGATAGTTTGGTAAATATGTATCACTAGGAATAGCCTAAGAATTAAATGGATAAGTTCTACACGACTTGAACCCAGATGTAATGTTGCTAGAAGTCATTGCTTTTTCCCAAGCTGACGCAAATATCCATGCAAAATTTGAACGACAAGTAATAATTCCTGGAAACTGACCAGCTCCAATTTGTTCCCGGAGGCGCAAACTCAGAGTTAAAACCCCATAAAGACCTAGATGTCTTTCCCTTCACTATAACCTGGGGTGGAATGAACTTGTCCTGTGCATTCACACATGCAATAACAGTGATTGACTCTCGATTTCCACTCTTTTGATTATGGGGGTTTTTTGTGCCTTTTCGTGCAACTATTTTTTTTGGTTTTACGTCAAGTTGTAGACCAGTTTCATCCATATTCCATATGGATTCTGGTTTAACGTAAAAATCATTTTTTAAAGTACTTTGACACTTTATCTTTTTCCATACACTGATGACGAACTGAACCCGACAAGAAAGATATATGTGGCCCACATGTGGTCATAGTGCTTTCGTGCGGATTAAAAGTGCAAAAATAAACTACAGTTGATGAATGAAACGGCCCTGCTTATATATAAGTATACGATATATATTATAAAATTTATAAAAAAACTGTAAATGTTTATTAATTTGTTTTAAAAAATAAATAAAAATAAAAATGTTTGAGCGGTTTTGTAATGAATATATTCGAGAATCGTTGTTCTAAATAAATTTTCCATAAAATTTGTAAATAAGAGTTATACTTAACGAATACAAATTTATAGTTATACTTAAACAACGTAATATTTTAAAATAGCGGACAATGTTAGCAAACTTTCGCAACCGCAAATAAATTGTGTAGTAATGCGTCACTAAAAATAAGTATAGGTAAACAAACAATCACACTTTTAAATTGAGGTGTATTATATTTTCTGCATCAATTTAAATTTTTTGAACTAAAAATATAGATTCTAAGAAAAAATCCCCCCGGAATAAATCCCCCTAAAATAATCCCCCGAAGAAAATCCCCCGAGAAAAAATCCTCCAGGAAAAAATACCCCTAAGAAAAAATGCTTTAGGTTTTAAATCAAAAAAATATATATCAGAGCTTTTTATTTGTTAAGTATTTATCTAAAGCCAAATAAGACTTTTGTTCCAACAGGTTGGAAAATCGTTGTCATTGTCACTTGACGACACCGATGTTATAGACGTATTTACAGAAACGAATTCACCTTTATCTTCTTAAACTTCTTTAAAACGTTCACCAATAACATCGATTACTTGCGTTGAGCTGTTTGAACACTGGCCTTCCGCGGTTTCCAGACTTTCCTGAACGACTAATTCTGTTTTTTTTTTTGAAAGGAAAATCCTGACAGTCGATGCTATCACTTGATCTTTTTTTAAACCAATTCATTAAACTCATGATAGTTAATTACATTATATTTCTATTTATTGTTTCTATTTATTTTATATTGGATTTTAATGATATTCATTAAAAGGAAACATTTTAAATTAAACAAATAATTCACTATAAATTTGTTTACTTCTTTTTAGAAATGCCGTCGAACGGCCGGATAAAAGTGACGTCAAACCATATATAATTATATTATAATCGGCATGAATCAAAGAACAGTAATAAAAATAACTAATTGTATAATAATAAAAATAACAATAATAATATACCAGTATGTATAATTAACACCAAATAATAATGATTAAAATAAAAACATAATAATAATAAATACAATACATATATAACGGAATTAATAAATAAATATTTAATAGAAGGCTGTCCATTAATTACGTCAACAAAAATTATAAAAACTAGTAACTAAAAGAATTGAAATAAATCAAATACAATCTTCCATACAACAATCAATTATATATACATAGTTACAGTTACAAACAGTAATAAACTGAATAAACGTAACAAATAATGATGACATAAAAACGATTATCGATAAAAGACTACGAAGACTAAATAAATATAATAATTTTAGTTTTTATAATATAATAACATAAATGTATTGTATAATAAACAAATAAAGAAAATATAAACAGAAAAATACTTATTATACATGAAATTAAGGTTAATAAAGTAAAAAATGCATTAAATGCATACACAAAAATACACGACATATAAATAAAAATACGCATCAATATAAACAATGTATCCACTAAAAAGTTTTTTCTTGCTCTATTCTTTCAATGACATTATTGTTTCTGGTAGACTAACGTAATTCTTTTCGTATTTTTTCGAACTATTTTTTCTTTTAACGATTCTTTTTTTCTGTTTGATACGTACTTTTGACCTGCTTTTTATCTTTTCAGTTTTCAGAGCAGCGCTTAGACGATAACTCGTCTGGCTTTTTTTCCCCCTGTGACATTTGGAAATTCACTTCATTTGTTTGTTCGAAAATAATGTACTATTCGTTTCTTCTGCTGTTGGTGTAGATATCAATATTCTTTGTGAGTTTTCTTTAAGAATTTCACAACCTCTTGAAATGGCATTTATATTTTTTTGTATTTTTGCTAATGTTCTTTTTACATTTGTATAGCATGTTTTACAAATACAATGATAGTTTTTTGAATAAATTAGCTTTTCATTTATGATTTTTTTCTATATTTAGGCCGGCCTCTGTTACTTTTCCCTTATTATCCCATAGATTAATTTTCATAGAACCATTATCATAGGATGAATACTTTTGTGTGAAATCATGGAGACATAAAATATACACGTTTAATAAACTAGGAGGCAAGAAAACCTCATAAGATTGTGCCTTTTTTTTTGGCAATAGTAAAATGTTTGTTTTTTTACGCAATGAAACATTGTGATCATTGCATTGAAAATCAAACAACTTATCCTCCATTTATTAAAAACTGGATACCATGTTGCAATATAAAAGTACACCAAAACCTATGAGTATGTAAAAAGCAAAACAAAATGTTTGAATTTAATAAATTAAATTTGAAGATAAACTGACTGAATTTGGACACTACTTATGAGTAAGAAAAAAATAAATGAACTTATTATTTTTATAAATCTGCAATAAGAAAAAACGTTAATAATATGTCATTTTCTAGTTTGAAAGTTAAAAATACGGATTAACAAAATTTATTGGACGTATATTAAATTTGGTAAAATGGTTGACAATTTGTTTTTGATAATTAATTTTGATAATTGTTTTTTAAAAAGTTTATTACCCCGTCCTTAAACCTGCTAAGTGTAAATATTTTTTGCTATTATTAATTTTTATAAATAACCAAAGTTTGACTTGTCAAAGTTTGCGAGAAAAAAAAAAATCAGACGAGATATCGTCTAAGCAGTGCTGTGCTCAAGTGCTCGAACCGAGAGATGAACCGTTATTTATAAATTTTAACCGAACGGTTAAAATTTATAAATAACGGCTCTTTTTTATTTTGAAAGTTAAAAAAAAATGTTATGTTGTTGCTTTAGAAAACTTAAACTTCATAAAAAATGAATACAATCAATTTCCTTATATCCTCTACCAAACAGACGGTGGCATTACAGGCAACGCAAGTCTGAAATAATTTGCATAAAAACAGTAATTATTGTAAAATTTATTATTGAACTATTATATTCACTAATAATTTCAAAGTTTCACGTGAGCGTGACGAACCAGAACAGCATTCTGATGCGTTCCAGTATATCTGGTCGAAACGGAACAATGATACTGATGCATTTGACGAACCGGAACGGCGTTTCGGTGCGTTCCAGTCTATTTCGAGCACTGTTATTTAAATTAAATATATTATTTTTAAATGCGTACATGATGTGGAAAGTTAAATAAAGTAAAGAACAACAAACAAGGTTTGGTTTTGAAAAACAAGTTTTATTTAGTATGAGACCTTTATAAAAATTTTT